CCCTCCTGCTGTGGTGGAAAAGGAGGTGATGCTCCAGAGTTGGGGAGGGGAGGGTCTCTGGGCTGGCGTTGGAGGTGGTTTTGATGGATTTCCAGAACCAGACGAGGGAAAGGAAAGGAAAAGTGATTATCAAAAGAGGAAACACTAAGGAGAAAGGTCTGAAAGCACAAAGACACCTGCAGTTTCAAGGTTGGTGAGAAATCCACAGTGCGGGGAACAGAAGCAAGTGCAATGAAGAATAGGAGTCAGGAGGGAGAAGGGAGAGGAGGATGGGAGAGCACAGGCACGCCAGCACCCCCAGGAGGAGCGCCCCATGAGGGGGTCATTTTAACATAAACGTGTATACTGGGATGACTGAAGCTGAACTCAAGAACTAGTTTCTCGAGATCACCATTTCTGATCTCATTCCAGATCCCCGTTTCTTTCTGCTGTTACCTCCTGCACTTGGCTCCAGGGTGCTGTCCATGTCCATCAAGAAGTCCCCAAGCCATCTTGTGCAGTCTCCCATTGAGATGTAATGGAAGGACATGGTCACATCCTTGTCATTCTGCCACTTTTTTTTCATCTTTCTGGCTCCAGGATGAACCGTTGTCCACATTCTGTTCTCTGAGTCAAAGAGGAGGAAGACCTGTCCATCGAAACCGAACTGCCAAGATCCACTGCTGTGTCCTTCGGCTTTCTGCTCACAAGACACTCGGGCCTGCAAGGTGAGGGGTTCTGCCCCCATCAGAGAGAGATCAGCTCTGGTCTTGACACATGTTGAGCCCCCATCCTGCTCTGCTTACAATTTCCCGGCCTTACTCTCTCTGCCACTTCTCGGCCTTGCCTCTAGACCTCTTAAGGGGTTAGATGACCTTCCATTTGTATTTTTTTTTTTGAGACAAAGTCTCACTCTGTTGCCCAGGCTGGAGTGCAGTGGCACAACCTCGGCTCACTGTAGCCTCTGCTTCGTGGGTTCAAAAGATCCTCCTGCCTCAGCCTCCCAAGTGGCTGGGATTACAGGTGTGCACCACTATGCCCAGCTAACTTTTGCATTTTTAGTAGCGACAGGGTTTCACCATGTTTGTCAGGCTGGTCTGAAATTCCTGACCTTGTGATTGGCCCACCTCAGCCTCCCAAAGTGCTGGGATTGTAGTCATGAGCCACCGCGCCCAGCCCCCATTTGTATTTTTACGTGAAAACTATAAATGCCTCTAACCTACCCCTGTATCTGCTCCCTCCTGTCCTGGGCCATCTGAAACTTACCCCTGGGTGTGTAATTCTCCAGCTGAATGTCAAGCAGTTGCTCTGTGAGCATGTCCACCACCTCTCTCAGTACTGGGTTCTGTGCTTTCCAGGCCTTTGTGACACTGAGCTTCTTCCCCAGGGGACTGATGGGTGTGACTGTCTTGTTGCCACAGTCATAGTGAAGAAAAGTCTTTTTATCCACCTGGCCTTGAACCGCACACCACCGTGGTCCAGGTCTAAATTTAGGGATGATGGTGATTTCATAGCAAAGAGAGTGAAGGTCTGTGGAGAAAGGCAGGTGAGGGGTGGGTGGGGAGAAAGAGACCCCTAGTTAGCCCTCCTTCACACTGTGACAATAAGAGGATGCTTTTTGCAGGCTGGGCTGGCCCAGGAAGGAGTGCCCCCTCCAGAACTGTGGTGTCCACAATACTAAGGCGAGTGCTCACCCCTTGCATGAGGACAAGGAGGAGGTGGAGGAGGAAGAGGAGGAGGTCTCTGCCTGCTGAGAAACCACATGTCCCCAGACATGTCCCACTGCTCCTCTGTCCACATCAGTCAACATACGACCTTGCTAGAGAGGTGCCAGGGCTGCTAGAGGAGGAAGGGCCTGGATGCCAGAGGATCTTCAGCAGCAGCCTGCGTTGACTGTGGGAGGTGGGAGAGGGTGTGAGGGATGCCCCTGAGGGTGCTGGTACATGGTGCAATAGAGTGAGGATGGAACTCCATTGGATAAAGAAGAATTGATTATCATGGTCACAGGATTTAACATGTTGGCAAAGTCCCCAGTGATGGTGCACATCTGCTATGAGGATGCCTTCCTGAAACCCTGGACAAAGGGATGGTCCACGCAGCAAGAAAGGGAAAATCTGAAAGTTTAAGGCAGGTAGTAGGGGGAGGGATCACAGGATCAGAGAAGTGCCCATGCCAGAGGGGTCTGAGTGTGAAAATCCAGAACAATGTCCATCCACTGTGCTCATGGGAAGCCTGGAGGACTCCTGTTTACCCAGCATATAAAGAAGGCCCCATGAGAAGACACCAGAATGGGATGAAGCTCAGGGATGCCTATTGCTGAAGGCCAGGGTTGGGGGTAGGAGATGCTGTTCCTGAAATGGGCTCCCAGTAGTAATGGGATGAAAAATTCTGAAATTATAGATTCCAGGTGGAGGCTGTCAACTGTCAGGAGCAAGGAGGGTTCAATGATGGAAATGACTAGAGAAGTCACAATGCCAGCTGGGAACCTCAGTCATACAAAGTTATGCCCATGGCTCATAGAACAAAGGGGTTCAAGGTCCAAAACAGATGGAAACCCAACCCGGATACTGCTGGATTTAAATAATTGCAACAAACAGAGATAAAACAAATGATGGATGACCAGGAGGCTGAAAGAAGCCAGTCCATCAAGAACAAGGTTGCTTTGCCCAATTTACAGAATTAAGCCACCTCTCATACCCTGAACCTATGACTAGAAGAAGACACCAGTTTCCGGTGAGGAAGGACCCTTTAACCCCGCACCAAGTGCAATGATTCTTTGTGGCCTTCTCCAAACATATTTATGGCCACTTGTGTTTGCTGTGAAGGGCAATTTTGTAAATATGTGCAGGGAATGTATTCTCCTTTGTAACTACTCAACTCTGCTGTTGAAGCTCAAAAGCAGCCATAGACAATCCATGAATGATGAGCAAGGCTGGACCTGCCTTAAGCGCCCAATGACCCAAGACCCAACGTCCTAGGACCCTAAGGTCCTAGAGGTACATGTGGTTACAATGTTTAATTGGAGAATAACAACATAGATTCTGTGTGAATGTTCAGAGGCAAGGCAAAGGCATGCATAGCAAGGAAATCTCAACATTAAAAAGTGTCTTCTGTAGAGTACTGGGCCTTGGCAGAGATGGGGCCTTTAGCCATGGAAGGGCAGTGACCATCCAGCCTCACAGTTGCCCATTACAGGTGGGCTTCTTACCCTCTAGGTCATTAGGAAGGTAGGCACGGCAGTGAGAAGACGCGGGTGGGTCTCCTGGGATGGGCAGGAACAGGGCCACAGGGAACCAAGAAGCTGCACAAGAAGTTGGCCCCGATCCCCAGGACACAACATGGCTGCACCCTCTCACCCTCAGATCATACCTGAGGCTTCAGGGAGGGGCGCTCATGGCCCCTCTGGACCTTAGATGCCACTCAGCACAAAGGAGGGGAGAGTAGACCTCCAACCATGGACCCCCACTCCCATCACATCCATATCACCCAGAAGCCATAGGCAAGGCAGGACCACCTTCTACTCTCCAACTGACACCTGAGACACCACTTGGAAATGACACCCTAGGGGATGGGGCACTATTCACTGGGACACTGTAATCCCTTCATCTAGGGTCCACAAACTTGGACAGGGTCCGAATCTGTTATCCCCTTATTTGCAGGTTGCCATTGCCTGCTGTTGCTCTACAAAGAGACAGGGCATGACACAGAGAACCCAAGGCCTGCAAAGATCACAGGGCATCCTTCCTCCCTTCCTAGAAAGGGTTTGCTGACCCCTGTCTATACACTGACTATCCTCTATGATGGCTGGCTCCTGGGTAGGAAGAAAAGGCAGGTCTGGGCCCCAAGGGCAGAAGTGGGCGCCTCTAGTCACCAGCGTTCCCAGGGTCTCCTGGAGGGAATGGTGCTTCACATCCTCCCAGCACAGATTCTGAGGGGAGCTTGGCATGTTTTTGCTGGGGTGTGTCCTCAGGTCAGAGGTAGAAGGTGTCATGTGGTGTAGGAGGTGGTGAGGGCCCCTTCATGGGTGGGGAGACCTCTGGGGTGACCAGCTGGGCAGAGGTAGGGAGTAAGAGGATGTGACCTGGGTGGTGGCAGTGGATGGTGAGGGGAGAGTGGGAAGTGTCTCCTGAGCCCCTGGGTGCAGGCGAGTGTCTACAGGAAAGTAGAGGAGAAAATTCAAGGGCAGGCAGCCCTGGGGAAGCTGGAGGGTTTGTGTGGTGGAGAGCAGGTAAGGGCAGAGCAGAGCAGACCGGTGGCTGGTGGGCGTGTCTGTGATTGTGTCCCTGTGGAACTCCTCTTGCCTCCTGTTCTGACCACAGCTGGCGTTCTGGGGGCTCTGGTTTCTCCTTCCGAAAGGCGGGTGGGACTGCCGGGCTGCACCAGGGATCCCCGCCCCACCTCGCCCTCTGCAGCCGTCTGGCCTTTCCACCCTCCCGAGGTTCCTTACAAGCCTCCTCTCCGCCCAGCTCCTCGCCACAGCGGGAGAAGCAGCCAAAGGGAGCGGACCCGAGGGGAGGGAGACACGGAGGAGAACGGAGCCGGGGTACAGTCCAGGGAGATCTCCCCCTTCCTTTCAAAACCCTCCCCTCCTCTGAAACCCGCTGCAGTCCACAGCCCCCCAGGTTTTGACCCCGCCGCGTTTAGGCTCCATCCCCAAACTCACCGGCTCACCCCGCTCGGTACCAGTCGGACAGCAGGAGCAGAAGCTGGAGGCACAGAAGGAACGCGGGGCTGGCGGCCGCTGCCACTGGGGACCTGGAGCACAGGGTACAGGAGATGCGGAGCCCAGTGGTCGGATCACCTGGCAGCTCGCAGGCTGTCTCGTATTTCCTGGGAATGGAGCAAGGAACTCCAGCAGGTCTGGCTCGTGCTCTGCCCCGCCCCTCGGAGGAGGTCTCCAACCAATCCGGTGTCTGCCTGCTGGGCCTCACCCATGTCTACCCCTAGGTGCCCCGCTAAGTCACCTCTCCTGCAAGGCTTACTTACTTACCCCAGGACCCGCCGGTGCCACTTGGTGGCTGCCTGCCCCGGCCCGAAGCTTGCCAGGAACGTCTTTCTTCCATAACCGCCTCAGGTAATCATCATGGTGTTTTTTTGTTTTGTTCTTTTTCCATTTTTTATTAACCCAATGTGGACACCGATGCACAGAAAGGTGAAGAAAACGCACAGCAGTGTTCAGCGGAGACGAGGTCTCCCTGTCCTTGTCTTGACCTGCGACACCTGCCTTCCCTCTCCCTGCGCTGCAGAGTGGCCCCTCCCTCCCCGTCCTGAGCGCAGACCCAGGCCGGGTCCCATCCCTGCCGCCGCTCACCAAATCCCGAGTGGACGTGCTTATAGTCCGGGCTAGGTTTATCTGTTTGTGTTTGTTTGTTTGTTTGTTTGTTTCTTCGTGATACAGTCTCGCTCTGCCGCCCAGGCTGGAATGCAGCAGCGCGATCTCGGTTCACTGCAACCTCCATCTCCCAAATTCAAGCGATTCCCCTGCTTCAGCCTCCCGAGTAGCTGGGACCACAGGTGCGCGCCACCAAGTCCGGTTAAGTTTTGTATTTTAGTGGAGACGGGGTTTCACCATGTTGCCCAGGTTGGTTTCGGACTCATGGGCTCAAGTGATCAGGGCCCCCTGACCGGCCCCCCACCTAGGGCTCCCAAAGTGCTGGGATTACAGGGGTGAGCCACTGCGCCTGGCCGGGGGCTAGATTATATTACAGAAGCACCAAGTTTTCAGAGGCTTCAAACAACATATTGTACACTAAACAACTGGTTAAGATGGCAAATTTTATGTTCTACGTTTTTACCAAACTTAAACAGCTTTAAAAATTATCTTAAAAATGTATGTCTTGCTGGGATCCGCCCAATGCGGATTGGCAAAAAGACTCTGCTCATTAAAATCGAGGACAGCATTGAAAACCTTGTCTCTAAAATCACAACCTGAGACACCTTGCTGATTTAGAAAGCACATCAGAGAGATGGGCCCTCAGCTCCCCTTAGAACAGCGCTCCACCAGGTGTGGGGATGGCCCAGGAGACTCAGCAGAGCAGCTTCAAGTGAAAGCTCCCCATGGCTCCCAACTGCCAGCGCTTGCTTTGGGCCTGTTCCCCCTGGGCAAGGACCAGCCATCCTTCAAAGCTGGGCACAAATACCCCCTCCCATGTGTGTCCCTCATCTTCTCACAAGAAAGAACACCCTCCTGCTCCCTGAGGCCTGGATCCACAGTGACGGAGTGTATCCGGATCTCCCCATGTGACAATTGCTCACACATTTCTTTGCATCTCTGCTAGAAGCATGAAGTCTTTGAGAATATACTAGATCCGTTTACAACTTTTGAGGGAAAAAAGCCCTAGTGGCCCACTGTTGCTCAATCAGAATGTGATCAATTGTGTTTCCCTTGGGAGCAGGAGGTGAAGGAGGGGTCTGTGCATGTGTGGGGCTCACTTTGCAGCACACCCATCTGTGGTCAACCACACTCAAATCCATGGCTGCACCCACACCTCTGCTCAGTCCCTGGCTGGTCCCTGCAGCCATCCTCAAAAAGAAACCCCAATTGTATCCTTGTCTTAATCATCATGAGGGCATCTGGAAGTGGTGGCAGAAGCCAGAGAGGGGTGAGGGTCCCAGTGGCCCCTGGCAGCTGGAGAGGGCTTAGCTTAGGGTGACGACTGGACAGAGCCCCTGAGTCCCACTCTGCCCCCAGCCACTCAGGCAACATCCTCCTTTCCCCTTCTCTCTCAGCCTCTTCTCACCCTGGGAGCTGCACCCACAGTTCTGAATGGGCCTGTCCCTGCCCCACCCCATCCATTCCTGGTCTAGCTCAATAGTGACCTTGGAACTCCAGGAGCGGCTCTGCACCCCTGTCTCTGAGTCAGCTCTGCTCCAGGCAGGGCCTGGATCTGGAGTGTGCAGGAGGCTGGATGGCAGGGGCATTGCCCCAGGACTGAGCTGTATTCCCAGGGGGTTCCCAGAGACCTGTCCTTCTACTGGTAGACAGTTCTTCAGTCAGCCTCTGCCTTAAAGGCTGTGACACAGGCACCTTCTCTGGGAATTAACTCCAACATTTTTCCCTGGGTCGTCACAGTCCTTGGCAACCTCTCCTTCCTGGGGTTACACCCAGTTCCTCTGCTCTTCTCCAGTGGATGGAATCTCCTCCTTAATTCCAGGAGGAGTGGGCTGGGAGAGCCTTGGTACATCTAATTCAAAAAGAGGGAGTGCAGGGCTGCCTTCCCACAGAAAGTTGCTTGGGTTCCAGGAATTAAAATGGAAGGTGAAGAGTAGAGGCTGCTCATGAAAAGGTTTTTTAAAAAGTCACTCCTATGGACCCATGGGGTTCAAGTCCGGGCCCTGAAACAGCTCCCCTGCCATCCCCCTCCTGCACACCCCAGATCCTGAGCCAGTTGATGGCCCTGCCTGGAGCAGAGTGGACTCAGACACAGGGGAGCTGAGCTGCTACTGGGGTTCCATGGGCACCACTGGGCTAGACCAGGAATAAATAAGGTGGAACAGAGACAGTCACCTTCAGAGCTATGGGTGCTGCTCCCAGTGTGAGGAGAGGCTGAGGAAGAAGGGGAAGGAGGGATGCTTCCCTGCAGGCCCACCCAAGGCCAAGGACAGAGGAATACAGAGCCCTCTCTTTGGATGGGCTCCCCCTACCCCTTTCCATGTTTTAGGCCCTGTCATCAGAGGGTAGAGAGGGCCTTGAGTGAGGGAGCAGGCCCATCACTACCACCTTCAGTCCTGTGGGCCCCTCCACTCCATCCCCTGGTCAGGTGCAGGGCCTGGGCTGACTCTGTGATGTCACAAAGGAAGAAGGAGGTTGGTCCAAGCTGCATGTGCCAGGGTTGGGGCTCAAGGGAAAAACAGGTTCCTTAGTGCAGGGGTCTCTGAGATGTGGAGTGACTAGGGAAGGATTGCCTGGAAAAGTGATTGGGGTTCTCCCTCACCACTTTAACCAACATTTGTGTCCTTTCTCAAGGTTGAATATGATTCGAAAAGGCCCCTGTGAGCACGGTCTCAATCAAACTTGCCCTTCTGGCTGGCCACCTGTCCACCACCTACTGTGTATGTCCAGAGGCCTCCAGCAGATCTTGATGACACCAGGGACCCAATAGCTTGTTCACTGCCTTGATTCCTTTTGCCAACAATTTACCAACGGTTATTCCTAACATCTTATGCTATTTTCTCTTGGTGTTACCTGATGGAATTCCTGCAATTAAAGTTCTGGCTGACTAAACAAGATATGTCAACATTTTTCTTTCTTCTGCTTTTGCTTGGAAAATCAGGTACTTCTTTGAATGATGACCTTGTTCTTCCAAATGATATTGTCAGTAAAACAATCATGTTAGACTTCAGACCTCCAGGGATTCTTTCTGTTTCCTGAAAGAGAATTCTTTAATTATTTAATAAGAAAAAAAAGTATATTAGTGACTGTTTCCTTTAGTAATTTATTGCCCTGTACTGATATTTAAATAAAGAGTTATATCTCCCAAAACTCTACTGAGTTTGGAATTTTGTGGAATTACTCAGTAGAGTATGAATGCTTTTTAATTTTTCCTCCATGATATGGAGTAATACATGAGTGATTCTGCTAGATTTTGTGTGAAAACAGAATCTACAAAACATGGTTGAAAAACTCAGAGACAACACAAATATATGGGAAAATATTTCAAGCTCATGGGTTGGAAGAATCAATATAGCTAAAATGGCCATTCTTCCAAAAGCAATTTATACATGCAATGGTATACCTATCAATACCAATGTCATTTTTCACAGAATTAGAAAAATCTAATTTAAAAGTTATTTGGAATTTGGAAAGAACCCAAATAGCAGAAACAATCATGAGCAAAAAGAACAAAGCCAGAGACATCACATTACCTGACTTCAAACTATAATATGAGGCTACAGTGATCAAAATAGATTGGTACTGGTTTAAAAAAAAAAAACAAACAAAAACAAAAAAAACAGACACTTAGATCAGTGGAACAGAATCGAGAGCTCAGAAAGAAACCTTCACACCTCCAGCCATGTAACCTTCAACAAAATCAACAAAAATAAGCAATGGGGAAAGACTCCCTATTGAACAATTGGTGCTGAGATAACTGGCTAGTCATGTGCAGAGGAATGAAACTGAACTCCTGCCTTTCACCGTATATGTAAAAGAACTTGACATGGATTAAAGATTTAAATGTAAGTCCTACAACTATAAAAATCCCGAAAGATAACCCAGGAAATACCACTCTAGAAATAGGGCCTGGCAAAAATTTCAAGATGAAGACACCAAAAGCAATTGCTACCAAGAACAAAAATTGACAAATGGGACCTCATCAAACTGAAGAGTTTCTGCACAGCGAAAGAAACTAGCAACACAGTAAACAGCCTGTAGAATAGGAGAAATATCTGCAAATGATGCATCTGGCAAAGCTCTAATATCCAGAATCTACAAGGAACTTAAACAACTCAACAAGCAAGAACTAAAAACCCAATTAAAAAATAAGCAAAGAATGTGAACAGACACTTTTCAAAAGAAGACCTGCAAGTGGCCAACAAACATGAAAAATGCTCAATATGAGTAATCATCAGAGAAATGCAGATCAAAACCACAGTGAGCTCCCATCTCACACCAGCCAAAATGGCAATTCTTAAAAGTCAGAAAACCACAGATGCTGGTGAGGCTGAGGAGAAAAGGAAACACTTAGACACTTTAGCTGGAAAAGGAAGCAAATTCAGTCACTACAGAAAGCACTTTGGAGATTTCTCAAAGAAGATAAAATAGAACTACCATTTGACCCAGCAATCCTACTACTGGGGATATATCTAAAGGAAAATAATTTATTCAATCAAATAGACCCGTATGGTTCATTGCAGCGCTACTCTCACGAACAAGGACACAGAACCAATCTAAGTGCCCAGCAGCAGTGGACTGAATGAAGAAAATGTGGTACATATGCACCAAGGAAATCTATGCAGCCATGAAAGACAACAAAATCAAGTCCTTTTCAGTAACATGGATGGAGCTGGAGGCCATCATCCTAGGTGACCTAACACAAGAACAGACCACTGCAAACCGCAGGTT